GGGGGGATTAATTTTAGTTTTTGTCTGACTGTCGTCTTTTTGGAAGGTTTGAGTCAGCAAAGAGAACGAAATATATATTTTTTTAAATTAATAAAACCCAGGCAGTTAGAATAATGGACATACACACAAAACGGAATCATGTTATACAAAGTTAAAGCCAGTTTCTTTCTAAACCAAATTTTAGAAGTTCGTACTTTTTCTGATTCTTCATAATGCTGTTTTATTCTTACTAGTCAAAAACAAGAAGAGAAAGAGAGAAGAAAATGGGAAAGGGGGGGGGGGGCTGAGGAAGAGGACGGAGATGAACCGCATCAACAACATCAGGGCGTTCACAGCAACATGGCGCGCAGTTCCAATTACCCCAGACGTCCTTGACGCCGGAGCTTGATTGGTGTCCTCATACATCCTTATTAGAAAGAACATTCCAGAAAGTCTAGGGGCAGTTACTGTCCAGATCCTCATGCTAGTGACAAAGGACAGGGACTGAGCGTTAGGAAGGATTATCACCTGCCCGGATAACACAACTCCTCCATCCAGGCGCTGTGCAGTAAACATGCCTGGCAGAATCAGATTTACGAGCATTTCTTCCATTTTCTCCCCCAAAGTCTTTCGGCATTCATTGTCAATTACCGAGCTATTCTAGGCGGTATATTATGTTTTGTGGGTCTACCTCAGATTTCAACAAAACTACCACGGATTCTGAATCTTTCAACTACAACTGACCTCATTTGTTTTCTGATTCCAGGAGCACAAACGTAGTGCATGTATTTCCTCAGTTGCGACAACTGTTTGATAAAACTCGAATGTGACTTACAGTTATCGTCCGCTTGTCTCTCTCGTGACTTGTTCTTTCGCTTTCATCTCTAAGATGGACGAGAGATGGATGGCCGGCTGATGCTGTTGGCTCTCTTTAAATAGCCCCCAACAGATAGCCTCGCTGCGGTAACAAATGCGTTGTAATGTCTACGTTCTGTTTTGTGATAAAACGTGTTAGCGCCCTGCCCGGGCTCAGATTTGAAGGTATCGGGTGGACGCAAAAAGTGGAATTGGAGACATTTTGAAAAGAGGAAGGTTGTTTTTTTTATCTTGTGACGCTGCACGCGCCTATACACACACCAAAAGAAAATTTTTTTTTAATGGAGGCAAGTTCAGAATGCTTTTCACTTTCGAGTTTTACTCTCCTGGTGTTTTGGTATTTTTTTTAAAAATACATGTAAATGTTAAATGCCTTTAGACTGGCAGATCAGAGGTATTATGATTAATCCTTGGCTATGAATAAAACATTTATCAGACTCAGTTGAACCGGCATTTCATACTTTCGTTTG